AGATGTTTGAGACTGAATTGTGTGTAAGTGTGTACTTGTTTGGCTGAGAGGTGTGAGAATAAACTAGGTGAAAGTGTGTAAGTATGTGGTTGAAATGTGTGAGAATGAATTGCTAAAATGTGTGAGAATATATCTATAATGTGTGTTATGATGATCTACAATTTTAAATTGAATCTCAAATAGGTTGGGACAATTTTGTGCAATATGTAGGTTTATCTTACAAAGTAAATCATTTTAATATTTATATATTTATTTATTTGTTGTGGTTTAGGGTATATCATATTATATCTTATGTTTTTTTTAATCAAGCTCATTGATCTTGGCCCTTTCTCTTACTAATATGCTCAAAAGAATTACATTTGGTGATCATCTTTATTTGAATTGTATGGACATTTAACAGGGATTATCTAGCTTTTGTACGTGTATCAATGACACATATTGCACTTTTGAAACAAGAGTTTTGTTTTCTATAATGACGTCATAATCTGTCCTTTTTTTGAGGACTATAGATTATAAATGTCCCCTCTACACATCTCTACAATGGTTAAGCTATTGTGAACTTCATCTTTGAAAGAGACAAAGTTCATAATGGCTTGACAATTGTGAAGATACTCATATAAAAGCTAGAATCCTTTTAAAGGCAAGTTTTGAATTAGGTTTTAATCATTGCTGCATGTTAAATTGGTTAAATAATTAATTTTTTTCCATAATGTTATTTAAAAATCTTCAACATTATACTTTTCAATAGGAATGAAGTGTGTTCTACCATAAATCAGAAGAGGCATTAATATATAGAATTATTTTTTGACAATAACTTTCATATCATTTGTTAAACTGATTCTGTATTTGATATGTTTTCTCTGAAAAAGGGCTATCACAAATCATGGTATTGGAATATATTATTTATCGTGAATATCTGCATAATAATCTATTTACTATCTATATATATATCAACTGTCTTAACATATTTTGTCATCAAAGTATCTTTTTAAGACAATAAACTTTGTACAATAGTTTCTGTGGAACATCTTAGCTTTTATTTTACAAATTGACATTATTGAAAGGATGAGTTGAAAAATCAATGACTTCTGTCACTGCCTAGCTGATGTTGAGGGGTGGGGGGAGTAAATCGTAAAGATGTATTATATTACAACAAAAACCCCTAAAAGTACAAAAACAAAGTAGTTACAACCAGGTTAAAAAATAAAATAACTTACCACCAAAGGGAATCTACTGAAAAAGTGTATACAAGCACTACATGAAAATCTTAGATTGCTTTTATTTATAAAAATATATTTTTTGTAAAATTACATTGAAAAAAAACACATTTCTATTTCTCTCCTAGAAATTTCAACCAAAAAAGTCACAAATTTTGGCAGAAAATTGTAATCTGTAAAAGCAAGATTGAAGACCTCTGTTAATATTTTTATAGACATTCTAAAAAGATTATCAGTATTTTTGAGGCTGCTATTCCAATTCTCTTAAAAATTATGGAAAAACACATATAAGGCAGATTGACCACACAGGAAAGAAAGATTATGTGGTCATTACCATAGTTAAGAAAGGACATGGTTAGAGGTCAAGTTTAATAAAACTCAGAAACAGAGAAGAGATAGGAAAGTAGAAAGGACAGTGAAGTGTAATTACTAGTTAATACTGTGAATACAATTAATTACAATTAAAACCAATTTAAAGGAACAGATAAACCATTGTAAGGGGGATGATGTGGGTTTTGAATATATGTAAATAGTCTTCAGAAAAAATGTACGTAAATTACTTCAATACCTCAAAATAAGAATTTATCTTTCTATTTCTATAATGTCTTTTATATAATTATATAACAACTCGTCTTTTTAACTTTCTATACAGCGATAATTCTGGACACACGTGGATTTGACAGGTGTGAATTGAACACTATCACTGATAAGCTAAAAATTCCCAATTCAGAGACTAAGGTACGATTGGTCAAACGGATGGTGAATTTGTCCCTTTCATGGTTCATCCCTTTTGGATTGCTCAGCTAAGCTAATCAGTTAAATTATTTGCAACAATTTCTCATCAATTTGTGTGGCATTTAAGGCCCTTTACTAGGGGGATCGCCCCCACACCCTGCAAAATTCGAACAAATTCTCAATTGAAGCTGATATCAGTCTAGGCTATTAGCTATTATTATGTATCATTATGTTATTAATGCATATAATTAAGAGTTTTAATCAATGATAAATGTCGATGTATGTACAGCCTGGATACACAAAAAAGACCTTTTGACCTTTCTTGACCTTTCTTGATCGGTCACTCATTGGAATTCTGCTGGTAACAAACAATAAGGCGTGACAGTTAGGGCCCATTTGGCTCTCACAATTTCTACTCTTACAAGTAATTTTCTCTTATTAATTATTACATGACCCTTAATTATTTGATTTTGCTTTACACTTTACCACTGAGATAGCATTTACAACTCCGTTACTATTTAACTTTATTCTGTCATAGTGGTTAAAGGCTATCAAGGGAAATAACAAGATCAAACCTCATAAGATACAGACTACAGTGGAAAGGTTATGTATTGGCGCTTCTGTTCCGCCATGATAGAGTGTCTCAAGGAAATTTCTTTTCGCCTAAAGATAAATGATACACAGCATCAAATGAACCTCATAATTCTCAACTATTTAACTCGACATTTCCATCAAGACATTAATAACATAACCTGTGACTATGTGTCGTCATCGGTGAAATTTTTCAACCCACCCAACCTCTATACCTATCCCACTTGATAGGTTTTAATATTGAAAATTACTAGTTTACTAAATTTTATATATATATATATCTTTATTACAACAAATTCATATTTTACTTCAACATATTTACATTTATACACTATTATGTTTCCAAAAGATCTATAGGGAAATATAAACGATACATTTATAAATCAATTACAGCCGTCAATAAATAAAGATAAAAATACTTCAGTTTACTAAATTTGGAGATGTCTCATATTCAGTTTTAAAGAGGCAAACCATTTTCAAAGTACAATTTACCGGTCAGTTCATTTCAATAAATTAATTCGAATTCATCGTTCACTAGAGCATTATCTAAATATATGGCTATATAAGGCCCCTGGTACCAAACCTGGGGTGTTTTCACCCCTGGGGGTGTGGTACTAGGGTGTCAAGGGTGTAGGGGAAGAATTTATTTTTAGTTGAGAGAGCACCTCACATCATCACGATTTCTCCAGGGGTGTGAAGGCTGTAATAGGTTGGGAACCACTAACATAGGCAATTGGAAGTGAGCTTCATGAGTATACAGACAGGTCTGCCATTTTTTTTAGCAATCGTACCTTAGTCTCAGAAACGGGATGTTTTTTTTTTAGTGAAGCCAATCAGTAATATTCACAGATCATCTTCGAAATTTGAGCCTTCAAATTATGTAAGTTCAGAATTATCCCAAAGTTAAAAAGACTAGTTGTGAAACTGTCATATAGAAAAGAAATCTATTGAATAGGAAAAAAAGTACTTATATTTTTGAAGCAATTATACGATTTTCGTACATTCTGAAGACTATTTACATATATTCAAGACTCACCCCTCCTCCCAAATGGCGCATCTGTCCCTTTAAGGCTACGTGGTTAGTTGAACGATTTTTGATAGATATCTGGAAAAACCTATTAAAATTACTAGTTAAGTGAGACCTCGCTATAGTCAACACCCACTTTTTTTATTGACATATCGGAAGTTTTTGTCATAAAACAAGAATTTTGTTTTATCTCCACCTTAAGTGAAATATTTCATTTGGATATATCATCGTCAAATATTTTTTTATGGCTAAACTTATTTTCAAGTCAAATGAAGAAGAGTGTTTAAAATATCACATATTTACATAAGGCTATTTATAAGGATGAAAGACGCCCCGGGACAAACATTGGGTGACTCGTATACTTCTTATTAATCAGAATATAATCATTTAGCGACATTTATAGGGGTCACATTAAATAACGGACACAATTATATAGTATACTACTCCTTAGTTTTATTACACACTACGTTTCAACAATCTTCAGATGTAGATTATTGAAACGTAGTGTGTAATAAAACTAAGGAGTAGTATTTCCATAAAATTGTGTCCGTTATTTAATAATCAGAATATATGATCGGTTGGATTGGTGACTTTTGCTGAAGACTCTTTGCATAAAATATTTATTTTAAAAAAAATCTCCATATGACTTACATTACATGGTCACTATGTCTTGGAAATTATGTAATAAAACGTTTTGACATAAAGAATATTTTGTGACAAAAGCCTATATGGCTTATGCAGAAAGTGTATGTAGCGTATTTAGAGGGAGGACCATTAGACCATGCCCCCTCTCAGGCCTGCGATAAGTCTTATTTTGAAGTGAAAATTAAGTCCTCTAAATGCTCAAAATTCATCTCAGGCCATTTGAAATCCGCTGGCTTCTAGTGAACCTCTGGCAGCCCCAAGATCCCTAACCTCAAGGGACTTTAGGCTTTCGGGCCTTCGGGCACTGTCGAGGAGATACATCTCATTTTCGGCCCCCTCCTCAGGCATTTTCTAGATATGTCCTTTCTGATTGCACTTAAAATATCTGATACAACAAAGTGCAGAATACCAAGGCAAAGGTGACTGGGTTCTTAATTCAAATAAATCTAAATTTTTTGGTAATATTTAATTATCAAACAAATCATGACATTGACATCAAAAGGCTATTGCAAAGGTTAAAACAAAATACAATTCAAATATTTCTATTCATTTCCGTTTTCAATATAAATACATTGTATTGGTCAGATTAGAGCTAAGGGAGGCAACCACAATAACAATTCAATCAAATGAGTTTAATTCGGAAATAAAAAAAAATCGAAAATTAGCAGTTCATAATAATTCATATAAAATTTGACCCTATCACCCTTGTAACGTCATTCAAAAATATTTGAGTTTTTTCAAGCAAAAAAGTTGGTTAATTATTTATTTTTTTGATTGAAAATCCACAAAGAAGATTTTGAGTAGCTGCGTCACGTTCGTTTGTATAGTAAACTATAATAGTTTGTTTGTCGTTTATATATTAATCTGCAATATTAATCCGCCAGTAATTAGCGTCACTACTGGACGTCTAGTTGATCTGAGCAGCTGACCATCAAAATCACATGCTAATAACATTTCAGACTTCAACTTTGCAACAGATAAATTAGATCATTATCGATGTGAAGACGTATTTGTAATTATGTGACCAAAATTAAAATAGTTCAGTTTAAATTTTCTTACAGGAGAAAACTAAAATATTATTTAAAGTTTTTAGAATCTGTAAAATGGATGGTGCTTTTCAGAAATCAGATTTACAAGGCATTATTCGGAGATAGACATTATATAATTGGACATTAAAATATAAACTGTATATCGAGGTTTAGGAAACTTTAAGTTTAATGTGTTGGGAAGCAATTCCAAAACAACTCCGGAAAGTGTTTGGTTGCTACGAATTTAAGGAATTGCAAGAAACCAACAAGGATAAGAGACGACACAATAAATCTTGGAGAAGATCAAGGAAGATTAGACCAAGTGAAGAAGAATTTTCTAAAGATTTCCAAGATCGACCAGATATTTTCTAAAACTGTGTGTTCTTTGCTTTTGAAAAGACAAATAAAAAAACGTGGTTAATATCAGACTCAGAATGTTTTCAACACGATATCTGGTAACACTACTTATACCAGGTGAGCATGATTCTGTTTTCTTGTCCCAAACCAATATTGTTGTACATAAAATGCCTTTTGATCGATACCAGTTTTTGTCTTGCTAATCAAGAACATTAATTGAATATGTACTTGATAAATCGAAATCCTCGGTTTTTTCTCTCCACCTAAAAAACCACGAAGATGAACCACATGTATCCAAATTTTTGCTTTTGCAGAAAATAATATTGGTAATTATTGGAAACAATTCACTGCTAATCGGACCATATAATATATACATGCACATTGGTAAACAGCATCTATTGTAAACGTCAGGGGGAATTGTATAACATATCATGTCCTCATATTTATAACTCATTTGCGAAAGCTATCCACAAGAATGTTAAGCCTAAACTTGAAATCGTGAAATCTTCAGTGTGTAAAGACCGTAAATTGTTAATTTTCATATTTCAGTGCTCATGTTCGTTACTGGATGTCGTGCAAATGGAGGACTGGATGGACTTCAAGGCGAAGCTATATCTACACTAGATACACTTCTTGATCTAAATGATGACGGTGATTATGCGTATCCAGCTTATACTGACACTGCTTATGATAACCCCTTTCCATTAGCAGCGGCTGAAACAGGAACTCTATACGATACCGTCGTTCCAACATACGGTACACAACAACCAGCAGCGAACGACTATCCTCTTCCAGCTAATGCTTCTCCTGTTTCTACTAATCCTTTACCCTTAGTCAACAATGTTTCACCCTTGCCAGTCTATGATTACCCTATCCCCAATAACTCACCTCCACAATACACCTCTTACAATACACCTCTTGCAGCGAATGGTCCGCCACAACCTACTCCAACTGCCCCTACTTACGACACGCCACTAGCGGCTTACGACTCTCCAATTGCACCCAACGAAGCACCTTTACCCACTTACGACACACCTCTTGCAGTTAATGGCCAAGAACCACCTACTTACGACACACCACTAGCAGCTTACGACTCCCCGATTTCACCCAACGATGCACCTTTACCGACATACGACACATCTCTTGCAGCGAATGGTCCAGCACCACCTACTTATGACACACCTCTTGCAGCTAACGGTTTACCTATTCCTACGTACGACACACCACTAGCGACATACGACGCCCCAAGCGCGCCAAACGATGGACCTTTACCTACTTACGATACCCCTCATGCCTCAAACGATTCACCGCAGCCTACCTATGACACACCGCTTGCAGTTTATGTAGCCGACGATTCTCCACTGGAGATTGGCGACGCGCCTCTTGAAGTTTACAATGGAAACTACGACTATTCTGTCGACATTCCACCTCTTGCTGATCCTGGTCATCAACAACGTTATCATGACTCTTCCTCTGATTCATCTTCATCCGAACATCGTCCTCCACCTCCACCACCCCCTCCTCCCCCACCACCTCCACCACCGCCACCGCCACCACCACCGCCACCGCCAGAGGATAACAGCGCCTCCGACGAATCTGGACCAAGTGAACCGGAGGGACCCCCTCCCCCTCCACCTCCACCAGAACACAAGCCTCCTCCTCCTCCACCACCACCTCCCTCGGCAGAGGCCTATTCCTCAGCTGACAGTTATTCATCGAGTTCATCGGATTATTCGTACGACAATCCTTTCCCATATTCTTCATCTGAACACTCATACTACGATAGCTCTCACTCCAGCTGGTCCGACTCAGGAGGCTCAGATTACGATTACGGATGGCATGCTCCTCATCCTCCAGCTAATCCCCCTTCGTCAAATTCCCATTCTTCTGGGAATTCTGGTTCTGGTAACACTGGTTCGTCTGGTAATCCAATCAGTTCAGGATCATCTGGAGGAAACGCAGTTGGTACAGGATCTGGCGGGAATACATTTGACACTGGATCGTCTGGCGGAATCACGCGTACAGGAGCAGGGTTGTCACCTTTCCCTGGTGGTGGATACCACAGGTACGGTTCTGGTGTTGGCGGTTATGTCGGAAGAACTGGTTCAAGTAACGGATTTTATCCGCGTTATGGGAGCTATCCATATCCAAGACCGAGATATGGTTACGCTGATCATAGTTATAATTATCGTAATCCGTTTTTAACACAAAAACGTATGTACGACACTGGACTCTCTTCAATGTACGCAAATCCTTATGTGAACCGATTGTCACTTCTTTCACGACAATTTCCATCATATTCTTCGGGACTTACGTCTCTTTTATCTCAATTACTAGCCAGTGTTAGAGCAATGTCAACTTCAAGAGTTGCATCTCGTGTATCGACTGGGTCTGCACCACATCCTCTTAATATTCCCTCGGTGAGACCACTTTATATACCATCTTTAGCAAGACCATTGGTCCTTCCTAGAAGTATACCTGTTACCGTAAGTCTTCCAATTACCATAGGAAATGTGCAAATCCCACCCGTTCCAGTGGTATCAAGAGACTTTCCTGTACGTCTTAACACTTTACCAGTAGGTTTGCGATCAGTTCCACAGATCAGTCCACCTCTACCATTGTTCCCACCATCTAACTCGATTCCTCCATCATCCTTGTATCCACGATCGTATCCGACTCCGATAAATACAGCACCCAGAGTCTACCCCATTCCCTATCCAGTGAACAATATTCCACTGACGAACGTATCCATATCAATACCTTCACCTATCCCATTCCCAACCCCCTATCCTATACCAACACCTTATCCCGTGTCATCGCAATACTCTGCCTCGCGGCCTTATCCCGTCCAGACCCAACCACCATCTCCAACATCCTTACTACAAATTCTGATGCAATGGATTCCACGAGCATTAGCTCAAAGTCAGAGTCAAGGTCAAGGTCAACTCATCACTGTACCCATTCAGGGATCTTCGGGTGCCCAGTTTTCACCAGGACTTGCTGGTCTGTTCGTATCCGAGAATCTCAATGGACAACCACCTCTGGTACCACAGAGTTCAGCAATAGCATCATCTTCGACTCAACTATCGCCTGGTTTAGCTACAGCAAGTGGAAGCCAGCTATACCCAGGATTATCAGGGAGTGTCCCGGGAGCATCTCAAGTAGGATTATCGGCAGGAGCATCTCAAGTAGGATTATCGGTTGCTCAACCACCAGTTGCCGAACCGCCAGCCATGCCTCAACAGACTCTCAACGACCCTCCGTCAGACGGGATACAAGGTCTCGTGCTGGGTGATCCACCTACTAATGCAGCAGGACAACCATCGGGAAACTTTGCCCCAGTTGTTGGACCGATTGCTTCTGTACCTAATTTCATGACGGGTGGAAATCCACAAACTCAAACCGAAGTTGAATTTCCCCCAAAATTTGGTTAAAGAAGGTAAGAGATTGCTTTAGTAAGATTTTAATATTTTGCAACAACTACCGTCGGACTGCTAAAGTAGTAAACTTACAATCAACTTACTCTTCACGATATGCAAATGTCATTGTTCATCTTTGGTTATTACCACACATATGTTAGAAAATACACGTACATGTAGTTGATTTTAGACGCTACATAAAGGAAAGACTCCTACTGTGGCATGTCCCTGAAACATCTCTATTTTTATGTTTTATTGTCTTCCTTGTAGATTTTGGATGGTACAACATAAAAGTCATTCCAAATGCGTCCTATTTTTTGGAAAAACCTTTCAAGGACAGTAACAATCTATTCAGTTTAGTGCAAACACAAGCCTGAATACACAAGAAATAGTTCAACTGTAACACATCTACTCCTGATGGAGCTCCATTCCTGTGGCGTACGTGGTTTCACTGGAAGAATATGAAAGAATTGAATGACATTGGTCCCGGTTTATAATATATATCAGTCATGCTATCATACAGAATGTAAATAATGTCAAGAAATAAAATAATATTTTGTTTTAAAATCACTAGTATTACCTATTATACAGCAACACCAAGTTGCAATATAATAAGTTGTTGAGAATCCAAAAGTCTAATTTGAACAATGAAGCTGCGACTGACTGTGAGCATCCGAGTGAGGTCTTTAAGGCATGACCTTTTTCGGTATTGGAAAAAATTTTGTTCAAGGCATTTAATATATCTCTATATGGAATCATACGCAATCTGTAATGCTACCAACAAATATTTTATTCAAAAACCCTGCAAATTAGAATTCAATGGGCGTGTCCATTTTCAATTATGGATCGATGGATCACTGTGCCACGCCATTGTAGTCGAACTGTTATCAGCCATAAGAGAGTACATAATATACATTATAGCATTAAAAATATATAGAGGAATTAATTTGAACACTTTGCAGCTTTTATGTACAAAAACCACAATGTTTGCTCACTCACATTGTGTATGGAAGCTAGTTGAAGACGCTATTTCGTATGGTTAACATTTATAACCATTTTGTATCCATCGGCAGTTTTGGTGTTTAAATGGCACAGATTTTTAAAGGGAGAGATTCGTCATCCGTTTGACCAATCGTACCTTAGTCTCAGAAACAGTTATTCATCCAATCTAATCAGTAATAGGCCTAGTGTTCACAGCCCACCTTTAAATCGATGTGTGTTCAGAATTATCCTCATTTCAAAGTTAAAAAGGCTCGTCTTATCTTGAAACTCTGCCATATAAAGAACAGACATAGGGTATAGACATACGATGAAATTCCTAGTTCGAGATATTTTTTAAGGAATTATGCGATTTTCGTACATTTTTAGTGCTTCTGAAGACCCACATCAATCCCCAAAATGACCCTTTAAATGCAAAAACTAAGAGATCAATACATCGAAACTTCAATGAACCGTTAAATCAGATTATTAAGTCATTATTCTTTCCTATAAATATCTATGGGAATACCATAGTCATAGTCGACATGAATTAGGGTATAAGGACAAGGTTTGCAAACGAGATGTATAATGTCTTCGCACATTATTTATTGGTAAATCGAATTTTACCGATTATTTTTTTTTCAAGAAAATTCCAGCTTTGCTCTGTCTTTGCGTTGATAGAAATTTGAATAACAGCACACATAACTCTTTTTGTTACAGAAGACAATTTTCAGTTAATACTTGCGATATTTTGGTTGAAATTTCTGGGAGGGAAATGCATTCATATTCATTTATGTTTTCATCAACGCAAAGTCATTCTAAGGCTATTAGTACTAGGCGAAATTCAATTAAAAATTTCCGATTTACCGTTACCCATAGAGTTATATAATAGGAATATGCTAATATTTATAACTCTGGAAAAACACAACAAGAAAACAGTGGCCTGTTTAGTCACTGCATTTGCTAATGAGAACCATCCGGGTATCGTTTCTCATCTTCCATTCCGCTATTTTTGTAGGTCGAATATTTTTTCTAGAGATATGTGCCCTTTAATCTGAAACTTTTAGAAAGTTTTAACTAAAAAAATCACGCCAAAAATATTTAAAAACAATATGTAAGGTTTTAAGTTCGTTATACTTTTTGGAAGCTGTTAAAAAACTACTGTACGTATCTAAGTAAAATAAACGTCTAATTGTAGATAAATATGTCTCCTTGTATTCTAAAGGTTTCATCTAAATATAGTACCCTCCGTTTTTAAGTAACCCTATTAAATCAAATTCAGTTTGATCACGAAGATACATAGACATAAATAGCATGTTTAAGAAATATTTTCAGGTATAGTTTACTATGCTTTTGATTATGATAACATTTTACAAAAACAGAATGTCCCTTTAACTACTTGACATTATGTGGATTATCACATCAAATACAATTGACTTGAGAGTTCCCAGGTGCCAGTCAACACTAAAATAACATAATGGTATCGAGAAAGAGAAAAATTAACTAGGAACCGCACTGCATATTCTCTTTTGGTCTTGGCCTACTCATGATTCGAATGATGGTATCATCCATTTTGTCATAGTTTTGCTGGAAATACCAACATCCAAAAATAGTTAGATTAGGTCACGATTTGTTTACAAACAAAACAGACAGTAGCCTACATTTTAAGGTAAGAAATTTAGTTTTGCATAAAGATTTGTCTGCTAGCCACTGTGCCAGTGCACTGCCAATGACATTCACGTATTCCGGGTTTTAATGACTAACAACAGTCTATCGACAGTCGGGAGAGCGTGTGTAGCCTATTTATAAATCCATTGCAACTCATAGCTTGTTGGAGAGAAGGATAGAATAAAATGACCTAGACATTTAAACTGTCGTAGTTTTAAACTGGCCTATATATAGCCACCTTATGAAAAATAAAAACATTGGTAGATCTGGTAATATTGTACCATAGAACTGTATCGTATACACTGCTTCAAGTATGCACAGAGCACATTTATAATTAGGCCTAAAGTGCATTCCATTTGCAATTTTTAGTGAAATGTTATAATCATGTGACTGTAAACAAAATGTGTTTCCCACCATATTATGTAAACATAAAACCAGATGAATAATGTAAATTTTAAACTGATGTGACAAGTTAATTTTCAGTTAAACAGTACATACCTAGATCTTTTATTCGTAGGCTACTGTCTTATGAATCTTGAGTGGGCATTTAAAGTGATACTACAATGAACATACAATTTAAGATGCCAATAAGAGCACATATTCATCAGTAGATCTAGTGTCATAAATAACATAACAGGATCCTTATATAATCCGATAAATCCAAAAAACATAGTAATTATCCATAAATATGCAATTAACTATTGAAAAACGCTTAATATCAAGATTAGGCGTTTTCAATAATTACATAGTTTTATGAATTTTCCAATTTTCTAGATTTTAAAGGGATTCTGTTGTAACTTTATGACACCAGGTAAGTTAACTGATGAATATAATATACTCATATTTACCATTCTTGAGAACTTAAATGTTATGTTCATTCTAAGACGTAGTAGCCTATCACTTTAAAACGCCTTGGCAACGTCCTATATATATCATGCATTCACCCATGATGCGGGCTGTGGTATTCCAGTACCCCCCGTTATAAAAAAGATTTCAGCTACCTGTAAGCTAACACAGTTAAAAATGAAAAAGAAATTAACTGCTGTAGCTTATAAAAGGGATGGGAGATATAACTGATCTGACTGTCCGAAAAACCAAGACTACCAAAGGAAGTCGCTCACATATTAGCGAAGCGGGTCATGTACGTCTTGTCACATGATAAACCAGCGTATATTTCCCCATAACGATAGCAAGATCCACATTCATTCCTTATATTTACATTGGTTTATCTTTTCTGATAAAATACGCCAAAATGTTCTATTTTTTAATTGTAAAAATACCTGAAACCGTTGTTGCTTAATTCACCCATATCTGTCAATCAAGTTCACCGCCCCGCCCCTAACAATACAGTTCTATAAATCAACGATATTCGGGATGGTTTGATATATTGCAGAACAATCACGATTTTATTTCAATTTTATACAGTGTGCTCAAAATAAAGTATTGAATAAAAGTGTAGTCTTCTTTATGTATTTTAGTAGTACTAGGCATTTCAATATGGTCGCACTTTCCCCAATTCCATTTTATTCCATGGGAAAGTGCGACCATATCGAAAGGTCCCAAAAAAAAAAAGACCTAAACACCCTACATTTCATAAATCCTTACAAAAAAAAGACCTAAACACCCTACATTTCATAAATTCTTACAAAAAAAGACCTAAACACCCTACATTTCATAAATTCTTACACCAAAAACACCCTACATTCCATCAACCCCCACCCCAAAAAAGAACCTATTCACCCTACATTTCATTAAATTAAACGAAAAAAGTATATATAAAATAACTTCCTTGTTTCGCTTAACATCCAGTTTTTTAATAGCCTCGTTTTAAATAATGTTATTTTTAGTCTAGAAACTTCTAGAAAGGAGATAACTCTTGTTTTGGAAAAAAAACAGACCACAATTTCTTCGTTAAATTAATTCATTTAAAAATAGGATGAGTTTAATTCTAAAACACGAACAACACAAATTCGAAGATTATTCGGGCGACGGTATCTTTTCATCAACATTTTCTCTAGGTAAAACAATAATTCCAAAAGTAGCTAGCCTTGTTTCAAACAACAAATCACTTATTTCAACCGAAGCTTAAGCTATAGGTTCTGTCGCGCAAGCGGGAAAGAGTATAAGCGACGCAGTGAAACAATCTGACGAGTTGAAAGAATTACAACTAATAAGAGATCTGCGAAACAGGGGATTAGAAGAAAGGAAAGAAAAACTTATTTTGGTTCAGACATACAAAAATCATTGGGTTCTCTTCCTGGATTTCCATGGGCAAAATATCTCGGAGAAAAACATTTTCCCGGTCATAAATACACTGGTTCAGGTACCAGGTTAGATCTGCGATTAGACGAAAACGATAAACCCAAACC